TGTACAGAGTTGTGCAACCCTCAAATTCAATTTTAGAACATTTCCATCATCTCAAAAATATCCCCCAAACTTCCCTCTGTTGGTTGCATTTGGCAGAAAGCCCCTTTATCCTTCAAATGCTTCTGCTAACCATTACTTAGCTTTTGGTTTGCAGCATTCTACTGACTTTATTTCTTAATTTTTTTGAGGGGTTTTTGAAAGGACTTGTTTCGTTTTTATGTCTTTGACTCATTACTCTACCCCCTTAATTCTATTCATTAATTTGGCCATGTTAGATTCCTCATGTAAGTGATTATGAGATTATTTTATAAAACATGTTATCTAAGAAAGAAATGCTAAGATGCTAGAATAATCTATATATTACATTAAACATTGCAAAATAAGAGAAGACATATTTTAAACTCTTGTGTTCTAAGCCAGTAGAGCTTAGAGTACTGAGGTTGAATTTGTTTCCTGCATGGAATGATGTTTAAATACTAAACTGCAGTGGCCTAAAATATTAACAGGTTGATTAGAATTATTAAACTTTTTCAAGCATTACCTATGCACACATATTTCTTAAGCAAAATAGGCCTTCCCTATAAGTAAATCTAGAATTATAGAAACTGCCTAAACATTAGAACTTCCAAGAAAATTTAAAAAAAGAAAAAGAAAGAAAGAAATTACAGTTGGCCAAGATCCACTAACCCACCTTCCAAGATATGAGTTTTCAGATGCATCGGTAAGTTTGGGAAATAGGTCAGATAAATAAACGGAAGAGTTTAGAAAACCTGTTTGCAGTCACATAACAAATTAGTGTTTCTTACTTATTTTAGAATTTTTATGTTCTTAGTTTGTTCTTTTTTACCCTAATTATACTTTTCCTTTGTTCGGAATCCTACATATTTTAATAAGCATAGTTTTATTTTTAGAATATTTTATCATCTCTGGTTAAGATCGGATCTTAGTAGCCATATGGTCAAACTTCCATTGAATGTTAAAATTTCCCCTGCACCATCCCTTCTGAATGGCCATCATCCTGCCTCTGATTGAGGAAGAGGCTAGGTTAAAAGATGGATATTTTGGAACTAGTTTATTTTTCTGTGGCTAAGTTACGGAGTTCTTCCTTCTATCAAGCCAAAGACTTACCTCTGTGACTCTTTCTCCTAGTTCCACCCTCCAAACCCACTGATGCCAAATTCCTTTTCTATGTCTCTTCCAATCCAGCCCTTTGGATGTCTGCAGGCAGACATCCAATCTCTCTGAAGTCTTCTCCAGGATTAAGCTTTCTGGTTTGTTCAACTATTGATCCTGTGATTGTATACATGCTTTTGAGGAACTCACACCATGGTAACTCCTAGTAGCATGTGTTCTGTTCTTTAGAGTCCCTCACTATGGATATTGGGGCCGTGAGCTTCTTCCTCCAGATACTGCATTGCCTTCATGCACCCTATCATCCTATTTAGAAGGTTGCTTCATTTATCAATGATTCTCTAGTCTCTTCACCCAAAATCATAAAGCTCTATGTCTTCTGATTAGTATTTGAGGGTTTCCCTTTTAGCTTGTTTTTTTTTTTTAATCTCATTAGGTTCTGCTCATTATTCCAGTTTTTTGAAATTATTTATATTTATTCATCTCACATATCACCTTTATTTCAGCTTCACAGTAACAGCCGAGTTATCCTTCATGTTCTTATACTTGTAGATTGATAAGTCAAAAAAGATTGACCTATGAACATCAGTCCATTAATCAATACCCTTTAGATGAAGTTCACTCATTGCATTATCATCCAGCTCAGTATTCATAGATAGGTTAATGGTTTTTGACTTCTTATTGCCTATCTGAATAACTCTACCATTCCTCTATCTATCAGCTATTGACTAAATTGAAAAATGAGGATTACCAGGCATGATTCAGCCCTAATAAAGCCTTACTGTCTTCTAATGATGGAATTGTTCAGAAACCATCTTTTAAATCACTAATCCTAACATTTTGCTATTAATATCAAATGATTATGAATTTTCAAAATTATTACTTTGTATGCAAATGAGATCATATGCTTAACTCTATGTATGTCTGCATATTTGCATGTTCAAAGCTCTTTTGCTTCATAAAGATCTGAGTTCCAGTTCTACCACTGAGATGCTAGGTAAACTTGAGTGAATTATTTAATGTTTCTGAACATTTATTTCTTCATCTGTAAAATACTTGTTTTGAAGATTAGAAATAATACATGAAAAGTTATCAGGATACTATCTCTCATACAACAGCAATGAGAAGTAAATCTCTAGATCATTAAAAACATCAGAATGACCAAATTAGTGGGTTCTAAGAACTATATGTTGTAATTATTTGAGCCCAAATTCCCAATTCCTTTGGAGTAGC